ATGCAAAGCAAGAGAAAGGTTGGTTGGTGAAGGCTTTAGATCCCAAGACTTAAAAATCAATGTTATGACTATAGTATTACAAGGTGTATGTTAATTGTTATTTTTGATTTTCCAGTATTTCAGATTTTGTGAAAGAAGTCCGGTAAAGATTTGTCCTGGACAAAGTACTATGTAAACCCTTAATTCTATGTGTCAACAGAGTTCTGTTCAGATCAAGTATGCTGGTGCATGGTTACAAAATTTCAGCACACAGATCATGCACATTTTGTCTTTTAATGAACTCTACCACAGAAATATCTACAGTTATCTATAGCTTTGCACAAAAAAATTACTTTTTTTTTAAACCCCACTTCAAATTTTTCTAGTCATAAACAATAAAGGTGTTTTTTCTGCACAGTTCACTAGCTGGCAGAAGTACTGCAAAAAATGAGTTTGTGTTTCTGCTTATTTATTTTTGTGAGCTGGAAAGGCTTTAATTCTCCTTAAGTCTGGAGGAATCACATGGCATTAGCAAACTGCCTCCAACGTATTCTTCAGGCACAGTACATAAGTGTAATGAAAAAGCACAACATACACATTCAGACAACTAAAACTGCTTAGCTTTCATCTTTCTCAATCACAGAATCACAGAATGTCAGGGGTTGGAAGGGACCTCAAAAGATCATCTAGTATAGCCCCCCTGACAGAGCAGGATCACCTACAGTAGGTCACACAGGAGTGTGTCCAGGCGGGTTTTGAAAGTCTCCAGAGCAGGAGACTCCACAACCTCTCTGGGCAGCCTGTGCCAGTGCTCTGTCACCCTCACAGTGAAAAAGATTTTTCTAATGTTTACAAAGAACCTCCTATGCTCCAGCTTGTACCCTCTGCCCCTTGTCCTATCACCAAATTCTGCCCACGGCTACCCATGAACAAAAGAGGATCTGATACAGTCCTACAGCTCCTGCAGAGTTCTGAATTACTGTAAATTCTAGTTGCAGACTTGGTAATAATCAGCAAAGAAGTATGATTTTTTTCATGCCAGACCAGGAGCTGCATTTGTCCAGTGTGTATCTGGTTTTGGACTAGACATAATGTCTCATCCTGGTATCTCATTCTTAGTCCTCAGAGCATATAAAATGTTCAAAACAATGCCTGCTTCTGCCAGACCAATCCCAGGCTCCATTCTCCACAGATAATCCTAAAGTTATGAACAGTTGTTCCAACCAAGGTGAAGCTATTTTATAGACACAGAAAATTACAGAATGTGTACAGATATCTGCATGTAACTCACTGGAAAAGACTTGTAACGGCCAAACTGGGATGAAATCTTAAATACAAGCTTTGTCTCATAAATACGTTCACCTAACTTAAATGATGTTATGCATTTCCCTATGGACTGCAGAAAAAATAAATGGGATGGTGAATGTTTTTTATCTTCAATCCAATGCAGGTTGTTCTATGACTTAATGAAGAAAAGCTTTCCCACTGATTGTTTTCTCTCTGAAAGACCATCACCCATTTTTTCTCTTTTCTCCTCAAGTAAGATTATAAAATGCAGAGAATGCAAATGATAGAATACCCTCAAACTGACCCACTCCAGGCAAGGCTACGCCAAGACAACCTCCTACCAGAGGCTTTTTGTTTTGGGATGACACAGCTATCCTGTACAACACTTAGCCTAGAGTTCCCATAACACCACTTAAGAAGAAAGCCACCTAATTGCCGTAAGTCAGAAGTATATTAATGAACTGCTCTAGAATATATTTTATTTTCAGGTAGGTCACAATTAAATTATCACAGATGTTTAATGATACACACTTTCATTAGTGTTATTAGTTAAATTCCTTAGCAAACTCTCAGAACTAACCTTGAAGTCCAGAAACAAACTGCAATGCAAGCAGGACAAAAGGACACACCTCAGTGCTCTAGAAGCAAACAAACAGCCCACTTTGTCAAGGGTCTAAAATGCCTGTTTGATTTCTTTCTTTAAAACCAAATATTTATAATTTAAAACAGCCTTTCCTAGTTTTGCTAAAAGTCTTCTTTGAGATCACAGAAAACTGGAATTAGAATTCCTCACTTTCATGCTTCTGACAAGATTCTTTATTTCAAAGACTAGATCACACAGGCCAAATAAAGTTTAAAAACAGTTATTTTTTTCTTTTCAGTTATAACTTCACTTTTTTTCCTTATATAGCATTAAAATCTAAACTTGTATTTTATGACATACAGCACTTTCCATGATGGTGGTATACAGAAATTCTACAATTTCAAATAAAAATAGCAATTCAAATTACCCCAGTATGTTATACATAGTGCAAAACCACAAAAGGTTCTTTCTTCCGTTGGGTGGTCACTTAAGGAAATATACACAAGTAAGGACAGATCCTCAAATGGCAGGTGTTCCTTGCATAACATGGCTCAAAATGTCTGTAAGTTTAAATTATAAGAATAGAAAGTACACTCTTTTGCCTTTCTCTTTCTCCTGAAATTATTTAGGATGTTATTATTATACAGCTCCAAGAAAGATTAATTAACCACATGTAAAGAAATCTCAATTTCCAGTCTTGGAAAAGGAGAAGCAACATTGAAAAATAACCCGTGTTTTATAATTTATTTTTTTTTTACTTTTAAGCAGTCTAAGAAACATTTTACGGAATAAGAACATTTAAAAATGAAGAAGATAAGAGTGAAGTTAAACCAAGAATTCCTTTATTCTCACTTAAGAAGTTTATTCTAGTCACTCTTAATTTTTACAGTAAGCTTAACTAAATAATGAAATTCCAGTTTAGCAAAGGAATAAGCAGGCCATTTTTGCTTGTTTTTAAAGGTTTAGTTAAGCCTGGTGAAATGTAACAGCTAAATTTTCACTGACCAGTGGGAGCAGAATAGAGCCTTTGCATATGCAATTGTACTATAAACAAAGTAAGGACTTTTACGATCATGTATTTCAGTGTAGAAAGTGTTGATACGTAAAGAAGAATTCTTCCTGCACATTATGTCTGAGGATACACTTGAAATAAATGCAAGAAACATTCCAGAAACAGGTATGTCCACTACTGCAAGAAAAGTATGTCAGTGGTCTGACTTAAAATTACACTCTGTGCTACTGTGCCAGAAGTGAAAGAAAGAGAAAAGAAGTGTAGTGGTAGGGGAAAAGATTCTGCTAAGCATCATTACATCTTAAGCAACCTTGCAAGCTGGAGCAAAACCTAGTCTTTATTACACGGAAATTCTAATCAACACTGACAAAAACAGTGGAATTAGGCCATTCCATAACAAATAAAAAACTTATCAAAGACAGTCAGATGGGACTTTCATTCACGTTACAACGCAAAACAAACAATACGACTAGACAGGTGTGTAACTATGTTGTATTTTCTGCATTTGGATAGCTCTAAGTTGTATTTTATTTTCTCACTCAGAAACTGGCTTTACAAAACTGATTCCATTGACTACTACAGGAACCCTGTTAGATTTATAGAATCATCTGCTGGTAAAAATCAGTGGCTGTAATTTTATGCCTAACTAAACTTAAAATAATCTTTTGTTCCATAGATAGGCATGTATTGCACATAACAGCATGCATACCATCTAAAAATGTGGGCTGATTGTCACCTTGGTGTTGGTAGGAAAACAGTTGCCTTATCCAATATTCCACAGTTGTGTGAACAAAATGTATTTTAACATGATTTCTATTCACAGTTTAAGTGAATCATTTCCCTTTTAATTCCCCACCCCCAACTATTCATTTATATACAGATGAGCAAAGCACTTTGATGAAAGTAGGTTCCAGAATAGACTGAAACTCCAGAATTTGCAAGTTTATTTTTGCAGATAGGAATGGTATAAAACAAGGAGCCAAAAAGAAAAAAAAAAAAAGGCCTTTATAACAGATTACATATTTGCTAATTTTAAACAAGCTTTGATCATCTCTCCTCCCCCAAATCAAAACAATCCCAAAGAATCAGATAAGGCTAATATAATTACTGCAATTAATTTAACCCAGTCTTACCATGTCCCTGTGAACCTCACACTTTGGAAAGTATTCTGTGCTAATGTACACCCTGTGCACTGCTACCTCAGACAAGCTACTGCCCCACATAAATTTAACAAATTTTGGACACTACTATCATATAACACCCAAAATATATCATATTTATGTCAGTACATGTATTCAGACATGCTTCAGTGATAGCTTCAGTCAAGAATGCTGTACGACTACATAGCATCTAAACTAATTCTGCCCACTTGATGTACTTTTTCTGTAAAAACCAATTTTCTTTCTCCTGCTGATTCTGAGACAGTGCTCAGAGAATACCATACCTAGAGAACATTTAGATGCATAATGTTTCATCCTTAAAATTAGTTATTTGTTAGTAGTAGTATCTCAGAGTATAACAAATGGGCTTTAATCAGTAAAAATATAAACACGATTAACACTGAAGGAAATGGATTATTGTTCAATACTGTTCAGTACACACATTCCAACTAAGTGCCTGTAAGTTCAGTTAGGCTGAGGCCTAGACGTTTCTTTCTGGAACAAAGAAAAGCTAACATTCTAAAAAAATTACCAAATAGTAAGAAAATTTAGTTTGCATCTTATGTACTTCCACAGCAGACTAACAAAAGCTGCTTCATTTACTAAGTGCAATGACCTATTTCTTCTTTTGGGGAGGAAGATAGCAGGGTTGAAATTATTGGATGCTGTCTGCATGTATTCCTACATGTGTTATGATGTGTATTTTTCATAGTGACCTGTATACTTCTTGTTTCAATTAAATAAGCCTTACTGCACAAAGAGGGATTTCAGATTTTTATTCAAAAAAATGCAAGAAAATCAAAGATCCGACATATGGAGGTTTTCAAGTACATCAGTCATTGTATGGCAAATCCCCATAGCCTAAAAAAGAATGTCTATAAAGGTCGTATTTATGAACAAGTATTAGGGATGAGGAAAAAAAGATCTCTATTTACACAAAAAAAAATATTGTTTCTTTGCTAAAGCAACTAATTCTTACCATTTTCAGATTCTGTTAAGTCCTGGGATTTCAGTTTCTCTTAAGTAGCACAAGGAGAACAATCTGGAAACAATTTAAAATATAAAAAATGAAAAAAAAAGGTAATTCCAACTGTCGCAGTATTTAATAGGTATTTTAACAGTGGGTGAGCCAACTATAAGCTTCAGTGGCTAAGATTAAAGTCATGCAAATTATTCTAACCACATGTATGCTTATATATCATGCATCTCTGCACTTCAGTGGTCCGTAGGCTTAAATATAGGACAAAGGAATCCCTGGTACCTGAATTTGCAGAACCCTATGCTATTCTTAGCTCTTGGTACATCTCTGAAGAGCTCTATAACTAATGGTTAACACATCTAAAAACCAGTCAAGAGGACAAAAAAACATCACCCTATGCTTAGTGTAAAGGTTCCCAAGCATAGTACAAAGTGTGGGATTTTTGCAATCAAGAAACAAGTATAACAGTGTCAGGTTTTCACAACGTAATGGCCCAGAGAGTAGGTATTTTTGGAAATGGCACTGCATTACATAACCTCCAGTTTTCTCTCTCTCTATTCCACACACCCCCCTACTTTAAATGGGGAGGAAAAAAAAAAAAGAGTAGGTCCTATTTCACTTAAATGGTACCTGAAATTACCACACTCTTAGTTGACTGAATTTGTAGCATACCTCTTTTATCAGTTTTCAAATAGTGACAAAAATTAAAGTTCTCTTCCATGGATATTTCCTACCTATAGTGTGTACATATGAAATGTAATTAGGTATGAGTCATATGTTTACACACAAACATACACATACATATTGGACTTAAAGCTCAAAATTCATGTATCTATAAATGTACACAGAAACATCTGAAAGCAAGCACATCACTAAATGTTCACCAAAATACTGCTGGGTTTCTTTTGTTTTTTTCTCAAAAGAACCACCCAATATTTAACTGCTGCACATGCAAAAATGCAGAAGGCTGTTGCAAGAATGACTGCTTTCTAAAAATAAACCCCAGCAGCCTGAGAGGAATCTAGTGTCAGGGCGGAGAAGAGGGAGATTCGTTTTACAAGGGAGAAGAAAAGAGATGAAAAACCAATCCTAGAGCCTTGCATGCATGCTAAAAAAGCTAACTGCATTACGTTCAAAAATGCATTTTGGTGTTTGCGGAATGCAAAAGCCAGAAAAAAGAAACAGTTTTAGAAAATCACTTCTCATCTCCCCTTGCATGTGTGCATAAAAATCCCCAGCCTAGAAATCCAGCCTTAAAGCATAAAGACAAAGAGTTAAATACATATACTGCTCGTTTTCTCATCTTCTTTAAGAAAGCCTGTTTGGAAATGTGCACCGAGAGGGGGAAAAGCAAGCTGCAGCAAAGTCCAGCTAAGGACAAAAGGAAATGGGAAGAAACAGAGAGAGAGAGAAAGAGAGAGAGGGGAGGGGGAAGAAAAAAAAACACAAACAAAAACCAAAACAACGAGAGAGAGGATTAATTTTTTTTAAAAAAAAGTAAAATTCTGTGGATTGGAATTGCATATACTTACAGACAAAAGCCCCCGCTCCCTGCTCACTTTCTGTCCTTTCTACATGATCTGAAACACAAATGTGGATTAAAAAAGGGCAGCCTGCTACAGAGGGAATTTATAGTTGGGGGAGTGGAGAGAGGGTAGGGGGTGTGGGGAAGAATGACTGCACCTCTTCCAAAGTGCAGCCTTGGAGAAAAAAGAAAAAGGGGTGGGGGTGGCTGGGGGAAAGTCTCTCTCTCTCTCTCAGGCTGGATTTTAGTTGCCAGTGCTGGTTATATTGAACAATGAGCTAATTCTGATGGTAGCTGGCTGGCTGCCAGCTCTCC